TATTCATGGGCATTCTAGTTCATTGAAATCTTGAAAACCCAAGCCAAGCAAACAAAAAATATGGCACTGGAAAATCTGATAAGCTGAAGTTAGTCTTTCATAATGATTGGCAACAAATACAGCATGCTATGTGTGCTTCGACAGACAGTCAAAATGAAACTAATTTCAAAGGCTATGATTAGCAGAATAGTACGACTTTTCTTACCTCTTCTTGCATCAACTTCATTGTATGATCTACATTTGTGAGCACAGTAGGGGGGAAAAATTGATCAACACCTTCACCTAAATGGCCAAAGCTTCCACGAGCAACAATCTCTGCTCCTTTGTCTACAGCATCATCAACAAGGCTTTGAAGCTTGTCAGAATGCTCTTGCATGCATATGGCACCCATATCATACCTTCCAGCTAGTGGTGGGCCCTGCAAAAGATAACCCACCATCAGAGATCTAATTGCATTCCAAAGTATTGCAATTTAGGTCATTAAGTAATTTGCAGTTAAAACTATTCAACAATCATTACGGCAATTACATTCCAGAAGTAAGCACACAAGTTGTAGACCTGATGGAATGCTGCAACGCTAGTTATATTTATCAGTCACAGAATGACCAAACAGTCATATGACCAGTGACAGCTGTTAAATATTTAGATCTAGCATTAATGTAATATTGTTGAGAACAAGCCATAGCACTGGCCCAAACACACACATACATCTCACCTAGGTTGTATCAGAAGGGACATACTTACAGCTGAAACAGACTTCACAATCTTAGCCACTTGATTGACAAATGAAGTATAAATATCCTTGTGAACATAAAATCTCTCAGCCCCAGCACAATTCTGCCCACTTGATTGGAGAGCAGCCCTGACAGCAACTTGTGCAACCTATATCACGGAAAACAGTCTCATCAATGGCACTAAACAGAGCAACTTCAGCTCTCAATCAAAATGTTAAATCACTAGATAATGTCCAATCAAGTTAGTTATCACAACAGGTGGAAAGGATTCATACATGAGGAATATCTACATCTTCACAAACAATAAATGCGTCTTTTCCACCAAGCTCGAGTGTAACCGGTATAAGGGTCTCAGCAGCTTTTCTCATTATCTGCAATGAAAGCAAACATGTGAATCCATTAGCAATTAAAACAATAAAAGAAGTCCCATCAAGATAAAATCAATTTTTATGAAGTTCCTCTCAGCAATAAGACTCCTAGTTCTAAAAACTAAAGTAGGGATTAGGGGGAAATATAAAAGAAAAATGAACAGTGTTTTATTTTCCTTTCTTAATGGTAAAGAACAACAATTTCTATATGCTTTAAATAACATCGAACTGGATAATAGGTAGGTGAAATCAGTTCAGAAATAAGCATAGTAGAGAAAACAACTAAATTTGGTGCAGCCATTCATGAGGTCATACCATCTTTCCCACACCTGGTGATCCAACAAATATAATTTTATCAACAGAAGACACCAGTGCTTCTCCTGTTTCAGCAAAGCTATGAAACAAAAGTCTAATTAATATTAGAGTATAGAAACAAGCATAGTGTCTGAAATAGTTAGGATAAATACATACCCTGTAATTACCTCAACCAGATTTTCAGGGGCTCCAACAGCAGCAAGGGCTGATTGGATTATCCGAAAGTAGAAACATCCAGACCAGCTTGCGTGTTCAGAAACCTACACTTGCAATCACGTAATTTTCTGTCAACTTACAGATAAAATGTCAAAATGCATTCTGTAAACACCAATGACAAGGATGCTGGGCATTAGGCAACAGCCTCCAAGATCAGACACAGTTAACCCTGAAGCAGTTCAGATAAAAGGATAAAACAGACTAAAAATTAGGCTCCAACATTAAGTACCTTAATCACCACACTATTTCCTGAAAAGACTGCTGCAAGCATTGGATTAAAAATATTATGAAAAGGGTAATTCCATGAAACGATAGCCCCAATTACACCAAGAGGGTGAAACTCCACTTTGGATACTTTGTGAAGCATTGATCTTCCAGAAGCTCTGCACAAGTTGAAATGAATACTGATATAGATATGCAGAGTTTACTAATAGCAAACACTGGCAATTGATTCAAAAGTTCTAGTAAGCCACTTAAAGGCTAAATTTTCAGAAGTAAAAAATGATAAAAATGCTGCTATAGTAAGGCTTACAGACGGAATGTTGATGAAGAAGCAAAGTTAACACATCAAACACACAATTGCATGGTTTGCCATGAGCAAATAAAGGTCAGCGGAGTGCAATCCACAAACTCCGAGATAAAAATGGTAAGATGCATACAGTTATAGATGATCTCTCTTCCAGATACAGCCAAGAGTATCTAGAAAGGAGAAATAATATTCAAAAGCTGGAAGGAAGTACCGGTATTCAGGCTTGAGCCACTTTTCACCCTCTGAAAGAAGCCAAGTGATCTTCTCACATGTTGTCATTATTTCTCCTAAAGAGGCATCAACCATTGTTTTCCCAGTATCGCGTGATGAGACTCTTAAATAAGAAAAAATAGGTCATATACAGGTATTCAATTAATGTCTATATCATGAAATCCAAAGATACAGAGTCTAACTTGTTTGATACACAGAAAATAGAAAAGAGAGGAAAAAGTAAAAGTGAACGTCAGAAAGTTTTTAATGTTTTTGTCTGACATTTAATGTGAGGAAGAGGACAAAAAGATTAAAAAAAAAATCACTCTCTGTGTATAGAAGAACAAAATCCTTACTCGCAAATAAGCTCCTGGTGTTCAATAATATATTTTAAAAGAATCCGCAAAAACTGCCGCCTTTGCTTGAAACTACTTTTCGCCCAAATTTTCTGTGCTTTCCTTGCTTGTGCCACCCGCTCCTTGACCTACGCATCACAGTGGGACAGTTGCAATGATGAGCAGTAGAATCATGATACATCCATACAGATGAACAAACAAGCACACAAAGTGGTCCAAAGTCTATATATATGTACATGAGCTCATAAGCTTCAACAAATATGCCAACAACATCAACCATTTAGAGCCCAGCAATGAACACATAAATATGGCTAGTGAATTCCAGTAAATGTTCCAACCAAAAAAAAAGTTCCAGTAAATCTATCCAGAAGATCACCAACCGCATCAGGTGTCAATGCTGGGAAATAGCCCAAGTATTTCATGGTGGCAGGCTCATAGCACTGAATTCTGTCTGATTGTTGTGTCCTTCCCCTTGGAGGTATCTGCACAGCATTTCCACATGAGAATCACATACCCAAAAACTATACTTTCTTTTGCTTATTGCTTTTTCTCCCATGAGAAAAAAAACAATAAATAGAATAAGAATCTTAGATTCATAAAGCTCATCAAACAAAAAATTTATTCAATGTTAAATGCAAAAAATATAAACTTAGATTAATGAATCAACTTCAATCAAATTTACCTAAGACTCATTCCACTAAAAGTAAGATTTCTTTCTAACAAGAAGTAACAAATTTTGATTCTGAGTCAAAATATCTGATTGAAGATTTAACTAAATAAAAGAAATATGAATCTGAACTACATTATAATAATTCGTTAAACTATTCAATTACAGCAATAATCTCATTAAAGTAAAGAAAAGTCAATTAACAAACCGAATCTTTGAACTTTGAATTGAAGAAACTGCTTATAAAGTAAAAACGAGCAGCAATCAAAATCAAATAAGCAACTGAGAAACACTCACGTAAATGAAGCTGTTTTCTTGAGCTTGGCTCCCGTCATCCAACACTGTGTTAAACAAAATTCAAACAAAAAATTATCAGCTTCGGTAAGTATAAAGTACGTATAAACAAAGCAGAAATTTATACGTATTCCATATCCGTATACGAACCATCGGAGGCGTCGACGTCGATCGAAGGAACATTCGGCGGAATGAGCATCAGTAAGAAACGACAGATCGCATAGGCAAATGCGAGAACGATGATCGGCCACCAAAACGCCATCGTTTTCGATCTCGAGAGAGAGAGAAGGAGAGAGAAGAGTAGAGCTCCTTGATGTTGAAGAACTTGCTCTCAAATGAGAGTGACCATTCTTTCCCTTTTTTTTTTTTTTTGTTGGAATTTGGAATAATAAAAAGTATTTTTGGATTAAAATGGATAAAAACAATTTCAGGTTCTGCTTTGGAAATCGCTTTATTTTTCCCCGTGTCTGGCGCCGCTGCTCTAGCCTCGAGCCTCCGCTCTACGTACATTGGCATTTTTTGTAATTTAAGTTTTTGTGAGGGTAATTTTGAGAACATTCGGATCCAACTGCCTCCGACGGTTGGCCCTAGGCCGACTATCAGAATGGGCCAAGCCCGCAGGATTCGACTTCTAAAACCTAAAGTTAAGTGAGCCTAGCCCAACAGATCATGGCCTTAGCCGAGCCTTCTGCGATGAACTTCTTCTTTTTTTCCACATTTTTTGACTTTTTTTTTTTCACATTTTTGGTTTTGAAAGATTTGCTTCTTTTGCCTTCGCAAAATTCATAGGTATGCAATGTGAGGAAAATAAATTTATAGCATTGGCTACTTTTTTAATGCTAAGAATTGAACTAATATATGTGTAGAACAATTCCTTTTCTTTTCTTTCTTTTGCATTCGGGAAAAGTCCAGAAGGATATAATCAAGCCATGCATGTGTTTCATGGCGGGTGTGTATCTTGGCTTCGATTTTTGTAAAGGTGGAACATCTGCTGGTTCATATATATACGTAATCCAAGTGGACCACAGCGGTTTAAACTGTTTCAAATTCTTGAATTTATCTTTAAGCAATCAGTTTTAGCTTTTACTCGAAACAAAGCTGGATAATGCCACATGCTTTCCATGGGAGTTTCCAGGATGGCAGGATGCTTTTGTCAGATTTGCTACTTAAGCTATGCAATGAATAGATTCTCGATTTCTTTTCTGTTTCACAGCATACTGTTTTTCTTCCTTTGCTGTTACCAATCTTCCCAAGTTATCTCGGATTCGCTCAGGTTGTATGAAGATATATAGCTTCTTTAGTTTCCTAATCTTTATGAATATGAGGTTTAAATAAGTGATTAAGATGGCAGGATCAAATGCTGTGTTTGGTAATGGCTCAGCTAAGTCCTATGGGCAAGCCAGGTGTTTTTGCAGGTTTTCAGAATTGTTATGGTAAATTCAGTGGCTGTCCCCAATGAGGTAAAGTAACCTGCTGTACCAACATCTTCAGGATTATTTGCATCAAAAGTTAATGCTGAAAGCAATTGATGTTGTTGTTTGTTTAGATTTCCTGCCGATGAAAATCAAATAGGAAAGGATGAGAAAAATCTATATACATCTTAGTATGGATATCAGACTCTGAACTGAACTTTCTGACATTCCAAATGGATCTGTTAATCCCATAAATCCCCTGAAAATTAACTTTGAAACAGTTCAATCCAGTAAAAGTGGATCTTTAGTTTATGTTTTCATTTCCTTTTGTAAAAATTTCATTGTTGACAACCATTTTAGTGACTTTCTGAAGCCATTGCAGGTTGTAATAACACTGACTGGCCAGTTACCAAAAAGCTTGTTTTCAGCTTGTAGTTACAGTCCGGTGGGTGAATCTCCTCATAGAACTGGATGGCTACGCTGTCGGAAGAGACAGATATCCGGAACCAAGTTGCAATCGAAATCCCGGCAGCGTCTTATGATGCTCTTGTGATTCCACTCAAAGAAAAGATGGAGACAATGTCTACTGCAAGTTGTATATGCAGAGTCAGTAAGAAGCTCCTGGAGAAAAATGAAAACCATTACATCCCTCAGACGATTTCCATCGGTCCTTTCCATCAGGGTAAGAACAATTTGAAAACCATGGAAGAGCATAAGTGGCGTTACCTATACTCTCTCCTGAATCGAAAACCTCATCTGGAACCGACCCTGGACAAATGTGTGAAGACTTTGAGAGAGCTAGAGCACAAAGCAAGACTGTTCTATGAAGATCATGAACAGATCAAACTGTCGAGCAATGAATTCGTGGAGCTCATGTTGGTCGATGCCGGTTTCCTCATCGAGCTCTTCCTCAAGTATGCTATAAAGGGTCTAAAACGCCGTGGTGATTACGTGTTTAACACGTCAGGACTGCTGTACGAGTTGAGGTGCGACATGTTATTGCTAGAAAACCAGATTCCCTATTTCATTCTTCAACGATTGTTCGAAATCGTACCGATTCCTGAACAGTGCAAACTGTCCCTCACCGAACTTGCCTTCCGTTTCTTTAGAAACATGATTCCAGGGGATCACAGACTTCATCTGGCGAAATTCGGGCAAGAAGGAAACCATTTCCTTGACTTAATCCGGCACTGTTTCCTCCCAACATTTCCACGGGCCAAAGCAAAGCAAGAAGGACAAAGAGGTTTGCCTCATAAGGCAACTGGGCTCATAGCCGCTGGAATTAAGCTCAAAAGGGCTACAACGGAGGACTTACTAGACATAAAATTTGTCAGAGGTGTCCTCGAAATTCCACCTGTAGAAGTCCATCAGTACACAGAAAGGCTCTTCAGGAATCTCATTGCTTTTGAGCAGTGTCGTTCTGATCAAAGCACGCCGCACATCTCATCCTATGTGCTTCTGATGAAAAGCCTGCTCCAAGACGAAAAAGATGTGAAACTACTGAAAAGAAAGCAAATCCTGACCAACTACGATGTCATTGACAGAAAGCAGGTCAGCACGTTGTTTCATAGGCTATGGGAGGAGATGTATGTGATGGAGAATGTGACCGATTTTTACTATGACGGCCTCTGTGAGCAAGTGAAAGACTATAAGAAAGGCAGATGGAATTGGAAGCCAACGGAGCCTAGACATCTCCAACACCCTCTGCCTCGTATTGTGGTTGTCATTGCAGTTTTCCTCATCCTCCTCATCTTGATTGGAGCTTTGTTCTCCATAGTCTCCTTTTTTGTTCACAGATTCTAGGAAAAAATTTCATCAGGAGCGTGATCCATTGCTTTTCTTGAAACAACAACAGTACTGCACCTGTTTTCAATGCCATTTGATGCAGATCACAAACAACCCTCAGAATCATTCAAGGCTTTTGTCCATGATTCCCTGCATATTGCCAGGAGAAAAAATAAATTGTTTGATATATATTCACCATGACCATCAGAGTCTTTTTCCAATCATTTCTAGGCAGCTGCAACCTCGCAGTCAAAAACCAAAAGGAAACCCGAAGCAGCTTTATTCTTTTAGTTTAGATCATTTACATATGCAATTTGATATTAATGTACACAGGAGCAACTTTTCCTGATTATCCGAATTCCACACCTTTTTCATTTCTTCTCCTTTTGTTTTCTGAGGACCACTTGCCAAGTGGCCATGCCCCATTTTGTAATAGTTAATACTTATTAGCTAAGACCAATAGTTAATACTTATTAGCTAAGACCTGCCTTACTTTTAAAGGCTTTGGTTTTTTATTCCTTAAAGAAAAGTTGCATCACCCAAATTCTTGAATGGGAGGGATGCCTAGTGGCCGCGGAGGGAGACTAAACCATGCAAAGAGGCACATTACTTAATTATCAACTGGGGAGATATATGGTTATTATTATTGCACATAATTTCTAATCAATCGGTTGGATTTTAAAATATTCAAAATTAAATTAATTGAATTTTTATTAACAAATAACCAAACTTGTCAAATTATACTTTAAAATTGAAATAATCGAAATTGACTTATGTTTGATCTTTTGGTTCATGTTACAATTTTTTATTATTTAATGATATTTATAGCCGACATCTGTTTATAATTATATAAAATAAAATATTTTTAAAAATATATTATTAATTATCTGCTTTAAATAACTTCATTTTCGATTGTAGGCTGTTATTTTATTTTTCTTTTATTTAAATAATTGACAACGACAAATCCCATTCATCGAACATAATATATCCAAGTGAGGCCCACGACTCGACAAAGAGAAAAAATCCAATCCTTCTGAACGAGGGTCTAACCTCCACGTTCACCGCTCGATCTTCATCAAAACCCTCTAAATGCTCCATCGAACGGCTCAAAAAGGTCAAAACGTACACCCGACCGCAAACAGTGAACTCCCACTTTACAACTTTTTCTGGCAATTCTCTCACTTTCACTAAAGTTGCGGTATTTCTGGCAAGTCTAAACACATTCTAGATCTCCACAGAAGCGCAACGCAGGTCAATCCAGAAACCAGAGGAAAAAACAAAGGCTCAGAAAAGCTTTAACATAGATATATACGGATAAGTATACGTATACCTACGGTGAGAGAGAAAAAGAGAGAGAGTGAGATATGGAGGCTGAAAGGAGAGTTGGGGTGGCCGTGGATTTCTCTGCAAGCAGCAAGAATGCGTTGAAATGGGCTGTGGATAACGTTATCCGGAAAGGGGATCATCTTATCCTTGTTACCATACGACCTGAAGGGAATTATGAGGAGGGGGAGATGCAGCTTTGGGAAGTCACCGGTTCACGTATACTCCTCTTTCTTTCTCTCTCTCTCTCTCTCTTTTTTTTTTGACATTAACTTTCTGTTTGTTTCTCGAGAAAAACCAGATTATCTAATTATATACAAGAAACCAGACAAAAGACATGTGTAGTTTACAGACAAATGGGCCCAAATGAATGAAAATTTGAAACTTTATACTTTCTTTAGAAGGTAAAATGAAAGGAATAATGGACTTGTTATTATTAGTATTTGTTTTTTCCTTCCCATGAAACTGTCTTTGCCTTAAATTGATTGATTTTCTTTTGGGGTACATCTGTTTTGTAGCTTTTATCCCTTTAAGTGAGTTCTCTGATCCCGTTGTCATGAAGAAGTACGGGATGAAGCCTGACCCTGAAACCTTGGACATTGTCAACACAGCGGCTACGGAGAAAGAAGTAATTTCTTCTCCAAATCCAGGGAACTGAACTTCATTTAAATACTGTTATCGTAATCCTTAATGGAGTAGTTGATGTTGTGTATGTATCCAGGTTGAGGTGCTCATGAAGATTTTCTGGGGTGATCCACGTGATAAGTTATGTGAGGCCATTGATAATATCCCTCTGAGCTGCATAATTGTAGGAAACAGAGGGCTTGGCAAGCTTAAGAGGTGAAATTCCATCAATAGATCTCAATAGTTTATCTTGCTTCAAAGAATTTGAATCAGCGATGGCTTTGATTTTTTTGGGGATGTCCTTTGGTTTTTCCTTAAAAGCCCTGTTTGTTCACATGGGGATCATGAATTGCGATACCTTGTGCTTTCAGTCCGGCTAAAGTGATACATTTCATATTTATAGTTTCTGATTATTGCTTGAAGAGAAAGATTCTTTGCTACATTGGATCAAAGTTTTCTTTACCATTACATTCAAGCATGAACACTAAATCCGGTACCACCAGTGCTGCATTGTGGCTGGAATAGGCAGATGATTCAGTCCCTTATTGGTTGATCATAATCATGTTTCAGGATTTTGCTTGTTTTTTATGTCCTTTAAATTTTGTTCATTTCTTTTTCAGGGCTATAATGGGCAGTGTAAGCAACTATGTGGTGAATAATGGTTCCTGCCCTGTTACTGTGGTGAAGCATCATGACTGAGTGCTACGCTTGCTCTGATGACTTATTTTGCTGGCGGCTGGCCTGGTTTATGTGGTGGAATGTAGAATTAAGTTGTATGAAATAAACCTGTTGATTTAAACCTTTTCTTGAAGTTAGACAAGCTTCATGTTATTGTATATATTGATGGGGTTTCCTGTAAACTAGACTTGCCAATCAAGGACTAATGTGAGAATAAATTCTGTCTGCAGTTCTAGGAACTGCTGATCAGTGATTGTTTTGATTGTTTGAACTAATTTTCTTTTTCTGGGTTTATGATTTTGGATGAAACATTTTATGCGGCATCTGCTTTGGAAATTAAAAGTAGAACTCATTAGAAACTTATAGCTGGCTAATTGATATCCAAAGATAATTGCAGACTCACCTCCCTTGACATGGCAGCAGATGGTAAATGTTTCAACTGACTTTATGCTTGTCCCTGCACTCTGGGTTGAAATTAATTGGTGTTTCTGTCACTGCCTTGCAACTTAGGCCCAGAGGGAGTGTTGAAATTGGTATGGGGGCTGAGATGTTATGTTAGTGAGGAATCAGAGCCTCTTGATCATCCCGATCTCTGATTTACAATTGTATTTTGCAGCATTGCTCTCTTAAACAGGAAATTTGGTGCTTCTAGAGTTAATAGTCCGTATCAAGTAATTTTGGTTTTTAACTATGCATTTATGCTGCAATGTGAGAGGATCTGAATCTCAAACCTTGTCTAAGCACAAGAAACTTCTAACTTAGAATATGGGCATTGCCTCACAAAATCAGGAGGCTGTTTGTGTTTCAGAAAACTGCCTGTCTAGTTGCTTGACTTTTCGTTTCCATAATTTTACAAAACGAGATCGAGATAGTGATATCACTGATGTATGAAACAACCTAAAATGAATTTAGAATTGGATCGGTATATTTTTCTGCAATAAATTTATGACAGCAGCAGAGCTATTGATCCAAGTGAAAGGATCCTCTCCATTGCTAAGAAGCAATAGAAATGTTAGATCATTGCAAATTTCATCCATAAAATAAGTTCAATATACGCCATTTACTTTAGAATCAAGTAATAGGTATCTCTGTTATTTTTTAATACTGGAGAAGATCAGTACCATTGGTAGTTGAATTTGAAGGGTCGAGAAACCTTTGATTAACAAATTAATGTTATTGCTTCATTAGGATAAATCAAGTTAAAGATGATCTGACTCAATAATTTTCTCACAGTTTCCCCAAATGTTCTAAGTTTTGTAAACTGAAATGTTATTATCTAATTTTAGACAATCTAGCCTACGACTACAAATGCCCGGATTGGAAAGTCTTTGACTCCCTGTGTCATGATCATGGCTGGGAAGAATTTCCTGAGCGGGGGCCTGATGGATGAGCCGCGGAAAACACTGCCAAAACAGCAAAATGTTCATGTTGACTACGTTTTCTAATGGTCATCCTATTTTTCCTGGTTAACTACCTCTTACCATGAATAGTGTAACCACCCAAAAAAACCCTCAACGATTTATATGTTCCTTCACCTTCCAATCCACCATTTTTCTTCTGCTCTTTTATCTTGAAACTCTGCAAACAAAAGACAACCAAGAAAACATGGAATTTAGAACCAATAAAAAACTGCTTGTATTCCTATTCTTGTGCATCGTTCTGTTCACCTCTGCGCAAGCCATTTGCGTGCCTCGCAATCAAACTGTCTCGGAAGGAGGGCCAGGACTGTCTTCATCTTTTTCTGCTTCCTCCAAATCACACTCACAATCTTCTCCTGCCTCCACTCCTACATCACAGCCACCGCCTTCTCCGCCTCCCCCAAGTACTGCCCCAGCCCCAGTTTCCGTCACTCCACCTTCTCCTCCCTCTCCAAGCACTGCCTCAGACCCAGTTCCCGCCACTCCAACAATTGATTCATCTCCAGGGTTAAAGTTACCCAAAATTCAACTTCCGCTATCACCACTTTCCTCAAACCTTGGGGTGGGAGCAAAAACGGTAACTGACCCTCAGATCTTAAGCCTGTGTGGCAAAACTGATCACGCTGCTCTTTGCTTAGCCTGCATTGCACCTTTCTACAATGGAAAATCAGACCTCTCATCGGTAGTTGAAATGTTGATAAAGTCTGGCACTGAGCAAACAAAACAGGCTATTGCCATCGCTGCAAAAATGGCTGACGACCCTAAATCCGATCCCAAGACAGTGGCAAAACTTAACGACTGCAAGGAAATTTATGATGATGCCTTGGACAACATGCAAGAAGCCATTGATGCAATCCCACTTAAAGATCTTGGTACCATTGCTACCATGATTAGTGCAACCATTTCAGATTTCGGGACATGTGATGATGGTTTCACAGGGCAGCCTAATCCGATTCCTGAAGGAGTTTCTCCAATGGCTAAAATCAATGAGAATCTTATGAATATTGCAGGCATCATCCTTGTCCTTGCAGACATGATTCATTGATTTTTGTTTCCAATTTTAACTAGGATTTTTACTTTAAAACTTGGGAACAAGAGCTAGCTTTAGTAATTCATTTGTTCTTTGTACACTCCCTTAACGTCTCCAAAGAACTTCTAGAGATGATCTAATCTTTAGTTCCTTATGAACACAAAAACCAATAAATGCTGTTGTATCACATTTTTTTCTCTTGCATATATATTTTCTAAACTCTTCATTGGGTTGCAATACATCTTTTTTTTCCCCACTATTTACATACAATGTCAAATCCAAACCCAAATTCTCTCGAAAATGAGTGATTCTCAGGTTATTAAGAGTTAAATGATAAATTCAGGAGAAAAAGAAATGGAAAGGAAAAGAAAACTATATTTGGGCCTAGGCTCACTAATTCAATATGATCCGTCCAGCCTATGGGCTTGGTCTTTTGACCTATCTCTTTCTCAAGATCCTGCTCAATTTGTTTATGCCGGGGAAGCAAAAAGACTTGAAAAAACTAAAAAAGAAAAAGGAAAAAAAAATTGGGGTTTACTGCTTGGTTTGGGAGCCAAAAAAAATTGAAAAAAATGGAACAGATAAAAAAAGTCCCCCTTACAGTGTCCTTTACCAAAGCCATTCCTGGGCGGGCAAAACCCTTTGGTCTTTCACGAACCCAAGTTTCCTTCAAAACGAAACCAGAAGAGAATTTCACAGAACCCTTTCTGACTAAAGTGCCAGACGTTGTTTTTCTGTCGTAGAATTTGGGTAAGTGTTTGCATATTTTTTCTTGGTTTCTTTTCTTATTTCTGTTGGTGGGTTTTCATCCTCTGTTTAAAAGGAGAATGCTGTAATAAGGATTTGAAATTTTTTTGTGAACTTTTAGATGTGTAGACTTAGAAGCTAGTTGTTGGGGGATGATATGTTTTGTTAAGCTCCAAGGTGTAGGTTTTAGGGCCAAAAATGCAGCCTTGTTTATGAATTTTTTAGGGGCCTCGGCATTGAGAATTTTGAGCTATAAATTCATTTTTTTTTTTGTTTTTAAACTTTTTCTTAATAAATAAGCAGGAAAAGAAAACACCGAGGGAGTTGTTTAGTTTGGTTTGATTCATTGTCATAGTAGTGAAAAATTGCTACCTTATAAAGGGACCAAAGTACAGTGCAATTTCAGATTCAATATTTACTGATTTTTTTTATTTTTATTTATTGGATTTTGTTCCTGTCAAGTAGAAAATTCATCTTCATTTATTGCCCATATGATTATTGAAATTCTTTTCTGGTTTGGTGTGCTTTCTTTCCTTTTACTTGTCTATTCTGAGCTTACTTTTTTCATTTGCTGTCCAAGAGTTGGATTCCCTGGCCATTATGGAAAGCTTTGGCGACGAAGGGTTTGCTGTTGTTGGCTGTACTGTAAGGAAGAAGAGGAGTAGTATATCACGCCGTCCCCGCTGTTCTCAACAGACATTTATGCATAACTACATTTTGATGTCATCACCTACACAAGCCATAGGTTGCAGTGGCAATGAAGATCAAAATTTTAGGAATGGTTCTAATGGATTTGGAAGTGAGAATAAGCTGAAACTTAAGCTCAAGCTTGGTGGGGTTACCCGTACAATCCACACAATATCCACAGCAGAACATGCCTTTGGTGGTGTGCCTACCTTAACTAAGTCTTCTCATTTTTCTGATGCCCCTCAAACCCAAGAGAAGTCCTTTCTCCTGGTAATTTGATATTGTCTCAAAACACTGGATTGCTAATGATTATCAGCTTATATTGTTTATAAAAAACTGTTTGTTGTGACCAACAATTTGGTATTGAATTTGATGTTTCTTTTCTCTGCGATATGTCTGTCCTATTTATCAATGCAATTGGAAGAGGTTCATTAGAAGGCATTTCTCCTTTGATATTTTTTAGTTAGTAGGTGTTGATCTGGTCTCATTGTCATTTGTCACTTCTTTTTTTCCATAAATTATAATGTGTCAGTTTTCTTTTAGTATTCTGTTGGAATGCAATTATTGGCTTGCAAACTGATAGTTTGTTGTATGAACAATCGCTGCAGGACAACAAAGGCTCCTATCCTTCGGATAAGGGGAAAGGCTTTGGAGTACAATGGAAGGATATCTCTAGAAGTGGCTTTGGGTATGGAAAGGGGTATTCTTCTAAGGGAAAGGCACCTGGGGTAAGTGTAGCCGTGAATGAAACTGACAGGAATGGGCCAACTCGTAAGAGCAAGCGGGTTCCTAAGAGGCGGGTCTTGGATGTGGGTTTAAATAGTGATGATGATGGTCAAGATGAGGAAATTCGTTATCTAGGGAGACTGAATGCTCCAAATGGTCTCTCAAACTATAAAGATGAACAGGATGAGAGATTTGGGAGAGATGGTGCTATTTTTGAGGATAAAGATTATGTGGAAGAAGATGAGCCTATATCAGATGATGAGCCTGGATCTAAAAGGAAGAAGCTGGGAAGGGGATCAGTTGATTTGTTGGTAGAAGGAAGAACTGAATCAATTCCCACTACACGTAATCGAGCTCTTCAGTGTGGGAAAGATCTGTTATCTGGTCCTGGTGTCAATCTTGTTGAGTTCCCTGATGGTTTACCTCCTGCCCCACCTAAAAGTTAGCAATTTCCTCACATTCTACATTTACTTCCTTTTTTCTTCCCCTCATATGATGATATTCCTTTACCCCTTTTAATAACCTGGATTGGTAATGATATAGCTGCAAATTTTTTTTTTAAAGTGTCTTTGAGCTTTTGGTGCTAAATGTTGAATTGGTTTTGTTTTAATATTGGTTGGTAATGATAGAACAAAAGGAGAAACTTTCTGAAGTGGAGCAACAGTTGAAGAAGGCTGAGGCTGCACAGAGGCGTAGAATGCAGTCAGAGAAAGCAGCCAGGGAAGCTGAGGTTTTACACATTTCTTTTGTTCTTTTGGGTGATTTATTATTGTTTTTTGATCATTTGAGAAACAGTCTAGTCTTTGAATTGTCTCAGGCTGAGGCAATCAGAAAAATTCTTGGTCAAGATTCTGGAAGAAAGAAGAGGGAAGAAAAGATTAAGAAGCAGCGGGATGAATTGGCACAGGTCCTTGAGTTCTTTTTATATTATTATTATTATGCAATTTTCTGTGTGTGTTTTGTAGCAGTGTTCTCATGCATTTTGATCTTAATTGATGCAGGGAAAGGCTGCCAAATCTGAAACTCTTGCATCAAACACGGTGAGATGGGTTATAGGTCCTGCTGGAACAACGGTTATATTTTCTGAAGATATCGGTCTACCACATTTATTCAATTCAGTGCCATGCAGGTACTCTTGCAAATCCGTCCGTCTGGTGCGTTTTATGACTTATATGCTTTTCTGGTTGTTCCTCAGTGGGATTTATGGGTTTCTTTTCCCTCCAGTTATCCCCCACCCCGAGAAAAATGTGCTGGTCCAAATTGTACAAACACATACAAGTATCGAGATTCCAAGTCCAAGCTTCCCCTGTGCAGTCTTGATTGTTACAAGGCAATACATGGAAAGACTCAACCTTTGATTGCATGCTGAGATGAAGTTCCATGATTCATTTTGGTATATTTTGGTGAGATCAGAATGAGGGTGCCTAACTGGAGGCAAGCTGGTTACTCTCCGCCAAGATATAGGTCATTTTTACTTTCGGATGTTTGAGGCCCTTTACCTGTTGACCTAAGCTCACTCCTGCTATTGTACTCTTTCTCACCGCTAGTTATTTGTGCATGAACAATGTTGCATGCACCTAACCACTGTAAAGAAATCTCTACCATCTCTCATCCACCCTCCATTTGTTATGTGGCTACAATAGGAAGTCACTATTTTTCCCTGGTTAATAGACATGCTTCAAGAGTATATGATAATGATTGAATCATTGTGTTTAGACAGCTGGAATGAACAACAAAAGAGTTTCACCAAGCAATGAATAATCAAAATTATAAGTGTATTAATCATGCTTACATATGATAATTGATTGCTGACATATACCATTACTTACGATAGCTAATATTTTCAAGATGGCATACTATATTACAAATCGATCCACTCTAGATGTAAATAAAAATCTTGATAGATTCCTGTTTCTTCTCGAACCAATCTGTCAGCGCGAAGTACAGGACATAGTAGATCCTCGCTGGATCTATGACCCATCCATGAAAACAGCACCATGTCCACTAGATTTCAAAAACTTCTTCAACAAAAGAACCAAAATTGCAATGCTAAGTCCAACAGCAGCCCATGTAAACAAGCGATCGTCAGCAGATTTTTGAACCCTCATCTCTGGCCCTTGCAGCGGCTGATTATTTGGTCCCCTGGCAGGAGCCTCTCTCACGACCCTGATTTCAGCAGGAGCAGGATTAGCATTGGCTGGAGCCACAGGCTCTTCTTCGACAACCCTGTCACCTACTGCATGATTTGGGAGCCCATCCCCAGCAGCCATGCTCACAGAATCTTGCTGACTAGCCTGAGTTACTCCATCCATGTCCATAGGTTGTTCTTCTAAGGCCTGTGAAGGACTGAGTTGAGGAACGGGTGGCGCCTTGCTTAACATATATTCATGAATCTGTGCCACCAAAAGCTTCATTAACATCGAACCAAAAACACTCCAAAATCACATCATTAAAATGGAACCTAAGCAAAAACATACCTCATCAATAAGTTTTTGGCGTTCAGGATTCCCAAATTTAGGGGGTGCTTCACGAGATTTGATGGCAAGGGCACGTCTCTCTTCCTTCTTATAGTCTAGAGAACCCAAGGCACCATTTGGGCTGGTGGGCATAAAAGCAATCAGTGCCACTAGAGCAGTCCGCACTATCAATACCAACAGCCAGATTAGCAAGGTTTTATCTAGATCTTTCCTTCTCCAAATTTTACTAATTAAAGTTTCTAACTCAATCAAGTATCAGCTCTTAAAAAAAAAGCCATAAGGAAACCTTTTGGCTTCAATCGAAAACACAGTCAAGCAAAATAAGAAAAGCCAGATCAAGGACAAGCCAGGATGACGGGATAGGAAATTTACTACTAAATGTTATAACAATTCAGTAGTTGCCACTACAATTTTTGTGATTGTTTTTGAGGAACTTCATCAAATAGCAGTAGAAACAACATTAAAACATACAAATAGTTCTTCATACTCAACATCCAGATTCTGGATACAATTCATATCGAAATTTGCATTGCATTCAACACAAATGACACTCACCACTCCAAGATGGCTGCCAGTGCTCCGGATGGTGATTAGAAATACTTAAGCAAATCTTAGTCTGGGTTTCAAAACGCCCGTTTGGCTGGAAAAATGGGCAGACAAACAAACTTGTTAGCAAATCAAATTAGATACTTGCAAAAAAAAAAAAGAGAAAACATATACAAAAAACGTAAGCGCTTACAGTCAGCAACATGAACGAAGGGGGCTTAAATGGATACTCTGCAGGCAATTGAATCCTTCCATGATAAATCCCTCCTTCAAATTCAGATTCCCTGGGACCCCTAATTGCAAATTGCCATTCAAATATATTCTCCTGGAAAATAAAAACCCCAAATTTATCATGACAGTCCTCAATAATCCCTTAAATCAGCAAACAATTTGCCTCTTAATTTCACAACAAATTTCTTGAAACTTTCAAATTAATCACTGTTCCATCCCCGATCCCGAATCGTCAAATTGGAAACTTAAAAAAAAACCCTAAAATTTTGGGATTTAGGAAATCGGACCTCGAGAGGAAGGCTCATGAAATCATCGGAAGGGTTGGATTGCATCTCCTTAACCTCTTGTAAAATCCTCTTCACCGCCGGATTCTTGAGGTTGTACTTGTCTTCAGCCATCGGATCACGATCTGATCGACGGTCGAACCACCACTACTACCACCACTACTACCACCACCAGCAGCTCCTCCGCCTGATCAGCTGACTAAACCCGCCGTATATAAAATACGTATTTTCGAGAGAAATTGAAATTCGAAAGAGAGATTCTTTTTGTATTTATTTAATGCGAAGAGAGAAAGAGAGAGAAAGAAGAAGGGGAGTTCCGGACTTGAGTCGTTGACTTGACACGTCATGAGATGCAGATTTGGTTACGCGGCATTATTTTATTGGATGAGAGGCAATATCTTTTTGTTACTGGTTCCTTCACTTTTTTTTAAAATATTTTAAATTCATTTTCTCTGGGCTGAAGGGATCCACTAGGCCCCATTAAAATCTTGAGTTGGGCTAATACAGTAAGGAGAGGAAGCCATTTATGCTGGGCTTCGATGGATTTGTATATCAAGTTGTGTTTAGCCCAAATAATTAATTTACTTTTTTCCTTTTTTTACTTTCACGAAAATTAAAATTTTATTTTATTTTGATATATTTTATATTAAAATTTGAATTTTTCATAATATAGATGTTCAATAGTTTTAAATATGAAAAAAATAAAAAAAATCATGAAAATGAATTTATAATATAAAAAATAAAAAATTAGGCATCTTAAAAAAAAAAGAAGGAAAAATGACTTCACTTTGAAACATCTCAAAAAGGAAAGATGGACAAGGAAAACAGGACGGGTTTCCTTTATTTTAAATCGAACATAGTGCCATAAGAAAAACATTATGCTCACAATTAAGCAAGATTTTTCTTTTAATAATCATAAAAAATATAATTGTTTCTTGTATAGTTAAAATGGTATTAATGCTCATTTGCCTATGCCTATGATAGGAATATATGTTTGTTTGTTTTTGAGTACATGTAATTTAGAGCTATAGGCTACAAGTTGTTAGATCGTGTCAATTGCCCTTCAGTCAATAGTTCAAGAAATCCAAGCCGCCATGTTAAATTATTCTTATTTAGAATGTCAACTCTGCAGCAAACAAAGATTTTTACTTTGGGAGCTTTGGGATTGTAAAATTTGATGAATTTAATAAAACTGGGTGTGACCTGGACAATATCAGTGATAAAAACCAGGCTTGATGACTCAGCTGGTGAGTTATAAAGGCAATGTAAATAGACATAAAGGACAAAAATGTATGTCAAATTACTTGGCTGTCAATCTCAAAGCTGTCTAGGATTTTGAGTCTTTTTGCAGCAGGCTGCATTGTAAGATTTCCTTTCCATGTCTTAATCAAGGTTCAATTTATGCTTTAATATATGTTCCTTGTTGTTGTCAGTTGCATGATCTTTGTTTCTTGTTACTTTCCATCCTTCGTTCTTCAAGTGTTTGTAACCATGCTTGGCTGATTCTGATTGATTTAATTCCTCAAGGATGATATCAGCTTGACTGTGGCATTTTGAATGCATTGTTTGACTGTTGTTTGATCACAAAGTTTATGAAAATCTTGGTTAAAAATTTGTTCTGCACAGCAATTTTTATCCAAGTGGCAATCGTGAAAACATGGTTGATTGCCTACCCTGGTGCAGGCCACCTTGGAAATTTCACTAAGTATTTAAGGTTGCCATACTAGATGTAAGACTCTTTCAAAGTAAAAAACTATAATTAATATTCCTTGTTGAAAAGTAAAAAATCTTCTTGTTCACAGCATAGAAATTGCTGAAATTGGTTACTTGGTGTTAGTAACGTACACCAATTAGAACCGAGGAAGCAGATATTGATCTGTTAGTTTCCTTGCTGTCTAGCATGGCGGATGTGGTGTTCACTTTCGATGATCTGAACATTGGTGGAGTTCCAGATAAGCTTAGTTCTTCTGATAAAGATTTTGAGAGTTTTGAGGGAGGTGGTAAAGGGAAGCAAAGTAGTTTTTATGGAGGCGAGTACTGGGGAGAGACAGGAGGCATTGAATCCTTGCCTTCTGATTATGGATTCTATCAAGATGACTCACTGGAGGCAGGATTCACTTCCTCCAAGAATCGGCCACAGGAGCAGCAACAACAACAACAACAACCGTTTACAGATTATGGACATCTTGATGGAGTAAGTGTCAATGCTGCACCTCCACCAATTCAAACATGTCTGGAGGAAATTGCAAAGCTTGGTCAGATCCCCACAGGAATTCAAGATGCTGCGGAGATGAAGAAGGAAAACCAGTACCCTTTTTCCTTGGCCTCGCTTGGGCTGCTGAACAACTATGGTAGTGGATTCAAACGATTGAATGGGGAAAGAAGAATTGAGGGAGCCAATGACATAACTGTGCTCACAAAGGAGGAAGACAGGAAATTATCAACTGAAGAAATCATGAGGGTTGCTGGAGAGATGCTTATCCAATCATCTTGTCAAACTATTGATAGTATCTCCATGCTTGGCCATCCTTTTAATCTTTCTTTCTCTGGACTTTCTGATCAGGAGATAAAAGATGTGGAGCTTGCTATGCTCCTTCTAGCTGCTGCAGAGAAAGTAGCCTATCAACAATATGACTGCGCTAGCAGATTGCTGAAACAATGTGATTACATGACCTTCAAAACTGGAAATCCAGTTCAGCGATCGGTCTACTATTTCACTGAAGCTCTTCGAGAGAAGATTGAAAGAGAGACAGGAAGCGCTTCATCAAAGGGTTTAAGAAGGAAACCGCTGTTTAATTTGGATGAAGCAATGATGAACCTGAACCCCACTGCATTGGCATGTCATGGACAATTGCCCTTTTGCCAGATTACACAATTTACTGGGATCCAGGCCATTGTGGAAAATGTGGCTGAGGCAAAGAGGATTCACATTATTGATCTTGCTATCAGAAATGGGGTGCAATGGACAGTCTTAATGCAAGCTCTTGCATCTCGATTTGAATGCCCTCTTGAGCTCCTGAAAATAACTGCTCCCGCAACTAATGCAAAACATTTAATGGAGGAAACAGGTAAGAGGCTGTCAAGTTTTGCCCAAAGCTTGGGCATACCCTTTGCTTTTAAGATTATCATGGTCCCAGACATGTTAGATCTTAAAGAAGATCTCTTTGAACTTGATGCTGAAGAAGCGGTTGCTGTCTATGCTGCGCATGCTTTTAGGGGCATGATTGCAATGCCAAACCGGCTTGAAAATATAATGAGAGTGGTCAGAGTCATCAATCCTCGTTTAATGGTGGTATCTGAAATTGAGGCCAACCATAACTCACCAATCTTTGTGAACCGTTTCATTGAAGTTCTTTTCTTCTTCAGTGCATACTTTGATTGCATCGCAACTTGCATGAAACAGAATTATAAAAATAGAGAGATCATAGAATCAGTGTTTTTTAGTGAAGGAATTAAGAACATGGTAGCTGCTGAAGGAGAGGACAGGAAGGTACGACATGTGAACTTTGATGTTTGGAGAGCATTCTTTGTTCGATATGGAATGGAGGAGGTAGAATTAAGCATGGCATCCCTGTACCAAGCAGACCTTATTCGCAAAAATTTTTCTTGTGGGAGTTCCTGTACACTTCATGTGAATGGGAAATGCCTACTTGTTGGATGGAAGGAAACACCGCTGCATTCTCTTTCTGTTTGGAAGTTCTTTTAAACGGTGGATATAATGTCTTAACATGACCACTGTCTAGGCTTTCTGCTTCCATTCAACTGTTCAACTGTGATAGTCCATGGGATGATAATCAACAGTGAATAAGACGGTAGTTTTATCTCCTGGTCTTGCTTAAGATATTTTATTTTTCGTCTTTTTCCACATGTGAAGATAGAGATTCTAGTCTGCTTTGAGTTGTGACTTTTCTGTTCTTTGTTGTTTTTGTTTGACAGTTGCAGTTTTTGACATAAGTGAAAACTAAAAGCTCTATGTTTGTGCTTATTAAAAATTTCGTAGTGCTTATTGTAATATCAAACACTGTCTATCTGAATATAGTTATCAAATTAATGGATTATCTGTATATCAGGTCTTGAAATGACCAGCAATGGCGAATCCTATTGCAGGATTTTATGGATCAATAGAAACCCCTCCCGGCCCTTAATCTACAGAAATACATATGAATGGCCCTTGACTTTCTAAGGCTTAAATCTGAAAATTCATACAGAGGCAGGCAAGAGGTCAATGCATTTTCTGAAGACCATTAACTTCCATGCCAAGTAAACATACCAAGATTCATTTTCCGGAATCAATACTATTTAGCTGTTTAGTTGTCAGATGTCGAAAGACATCCCAAACCTGGCATATGAACCAGGTATGGGAATGATTTGACTAGGTGAAATGATATCTTATTGCTATATGCTTCTATAGATCAGTACTGCTATATGAACATCACCAGTTCAAAGCTTGAGTTCAACAGACATGCCTGTCCACCATTTCCAGCCTTGCCAATGCGCCTGAAGTTCTTTTTCCCCTTTGGAAACTTTTGTTTTGTTGCTTTACATGTATTTTCCTTTCATGAAGCTTGCATTGCCGGCTTTATATTCAATTTCAAGTGAAAACATTCTTTCTGTTAATTTAGTCCATGTATTATGGCCGGCTAAAGATTCCTAGCCGAATTAATAAGTCAAACAATGTTAGTTTACTCCATGTATTATTGCCTATGTATCCAAAACCAAATTTTCAGAATGATTCATACCATCATAGCTAGCCTTGCATTAAACGCCTACTGCTTATCTCGGCATCTTATGGATCTCATTGACTGCATGTGGTTGGAATAGGATTCCTCAGCAAGAAATCAAAAAATTCCAAAAATTCTAAAGAGTTGCCTTCATAACCAGCTGTATGTTGTTATGTTAGATAAAACTGGCTTATACAATAAGAAGGCAATCTCACTCCTGGTTGTAAAAGGGCATATTGGAGTTCAAGTTTTTGGTATTGTTCTTTCCTTTTTTTTTTCCTCCCTTGTTTGATTCTTTCATATTCCTTCTTCTAATGGCATGGTTAGAGTTGTCATTATCTTTTGAGGATCTGGAAGAGATAAATGAAGCGTTGTGATGTTAAGGGCCTTGGAATTCCTTCAATCTGAACCATATCTGTGGCATGATTCAGATATCAATGAACTAAAGAAGGAATGTGCATGTCTTAGAAAAATCATAAGCCAACTCTTAATGTTTTAGACTTCAATCATGGCTTCTATCCATGGATTATCAGCTGCCAATCTTATCAAAATTGCAAGAGCAAGTTTCAATAAAATTGCTTTCCTGGAATGGTTTGATCTCTCTGTGCTGAACAAATTCTTCAATGATGGTTGCTTTAATCTTTCTGGTGATGAGATAAAAGACGTAGAGCTTGCAATTCTTCTGCTAGCTTCTGCTGACAAGGTTGACAGCCGACAGTTTGATCATGCACGAAAGTTCCTAAACTTGTGTGATTTCTTGTCTTCCAATGCTGGAAGTTCAATACAAAGAGTGGTGCATTATTTCAGTAAGGCTCTTCGTGAGAAGATTGATGGAGAAACTGGGGCAACCACATCAAAGGCTGGGGAAAGCAGGGGAGGAGAACTATCGCATCCAGATGAGACAATGGTGAGTTTGAACCCTGCTCTCATTACATGTTCCCTAAAACTTCCCTTCATTCAGGTTACACAGTTTGCTGGACTCCAAGCAATCATAGAAAATGTAGCCTCAGCAAAGAAGGTTCATTTCATTGACCTTGCAATTAGAAGTGGAGCACAATGCACAGCCTTGATGCAAGCTCTTGCAACTCGTGATGAATGCCCAATTGAGCTTCTAAAAGTAACTGCTGTTGGGACAACATCACAGACAAAGATGAAAGAGACTGGTAAAAGGCTGGCCCGTTTTGCTGAAGCATTAAACATACCCTTTTTGTTTAACACTGTCATGGTGACGGACCTTAAAGACATCAGTGAAGATATGTTTGAGTCAAATGATGATGAAGCTGTAGTTGTCAGCTCCCGATTTCTGCTGAGACATACTTTAACACAATCTGATTGCTTGGAATCTATAATAAGAGTGGTTAAGAACCTCAATCCATGCATTGTAGTTATCACAGAATTTGAGGCCGATCACACATCTCCGATTTTCATGGAACGCTTTTCTGAAGCATTGTCTTTCTATACTACATATTTTGATTGCCTCGAAGATTGTTTTGATCGGTGTGATCAAAACAGGACGATTTTGGAGGCTGCATACTTGGGTCTAGAGATCCGAAATACTGTTGCAGCAGAGGATGAAGATAGGATTTTCCAGGACATGAAAATTGAAGCCTGGAGAACCAGTTTGACGAATTTGGGGCTGGTCGAAGTGGAGTTAAGTTCATCATCTTTGTATCAAGCACATTTGGTGGCCACACAGTTTGCTCCTGGAAATACTTGCACATGTTGCAGGAATGGGAAGTCCCTAGTTGTCAACTGGAAAGGGACGCCAATTCTTTCTCTTTCCACTTGGAAATTATTTGAACAAAGCAAGCCAAGAAGGAATTGTAATGTAAAACGTAAATCTCTCAGTGACCCAGCTCTGTAGCTTAAACTGCAAATGTTTTGATATATTATCTTGAGAAAATCATAAATCCGAAAACCTGTTCTGATTCACAGTCACAGTTCCCTCTTCCTTTAAAACAAGGTGAGAAGGAATGTGTTTTCCTGGAGTTCACTTTATTTGCTGGTTATACAAGTTATAAAAGAAATCCTTGCTGGGAGGATAATATGTGCATGCATTGGTTGACAATAATCACTTATCCTAATTTCAACCCAATACTATAAACAGAGATCATATTTTTCTCAGCTATGGCTTATGGGGGAAAATTGATTAGGACAAAGGAGAACCATTTTATTGTGCAATCATTGAGGAAGTACATAAGTCAAGTCTGCAATCAAAATGAGCTCAAAGATTATTAAAAACAAAAAAGGAAAGAGCTCAAGGACCCATTTTCACGTAAGTTTTTCCCTTTTGAACATAGACAGGGAGGGGATTCACAAAAGTTGCTCATCAATGGCTAATTCTTCTATTATGTTTCCATGGTTTAGAGGATTGAAGCATGGCATATCAGAGCATTTGCTAGGTAAGGTGGTAGAGTCCACTTCTTGATTCCATGAGAGAATAGGCCTTGGATATTTGCGTGCGATGATTACTGAATTTATGACCTCATCAGTTGGATGAAACACTGAAAGAACTTCAAAGCCTTGAAGATCACAAGGATCAATGACAGGATATAAGAATGCTCGAGCTCCTTGTGCACTTCTTAGCAACAGAAAAGCTCCTGGAGCCATGTACTCAGCCAAGTGACGTATTACATGAGCCTTCTCCTCCTTGTGCATACCTACTAGAGCCGCCAAGAAAATAACTTCATATTCCTTTAAGCCACTTGACACGTTCATAACATCAGCAGTGTGGAAAAACATTCGTTTTGATAAGTCAGGATCCGAGGAAACCAACTGAGAGGCTTTGGCATTTGCAGATGGATCGATATCATAGTTATGGAAGGAGGTAGAAATTAGATGTTTGGTAGCCAAGATGATAGAAGTGAGAGGGAGGGGACCGGAGCCTATAAAAGCCACTTGGTTAGGAAGTGTGGTGCACTCTTTTTGCAGCATGGAAAATTCCAGATGAGTCAGTTTGAGGTAATTGGAATAGTAAGGGAAGATACTGATATGGTCAAGTGGATTTGCATGAGATCCTATGAAGGTAGAGAAATGCCCCTCTAAGATTCCCTCAGCTTCCCCACAAACCTTAATTAGCCTGGATCTCATTTCTTGAACTCTTTCACTCAACTTAGTGATATCAATGTCACTTGGGGACAGACATGTAAGCACAAGTTTGGTGAAGAGGGTGTTGACATGGTTGGACGGACTTAGGTCTACTAACATTGAAATTTTCTCATAGAGATTGGTGATATTAGCTACCAGTGGCTCCTGATGAGATTCCATAATGTCACTATAAGATTTTAGGGAGTATCCAGGAAGAAGCAATACACTCCTGCTAAGCCAATGGCAGTCTCCTTTGAAGACTTATATATGCATATGGGGAGGCTTTATCTTCTCTGAAGAGGTGATTTAATCTCCATTGCATCATTAGCCAATTATAAAATTGCAGATTGTAATGCAAAAAACCATTAACTCATACAAGATTGTAGCATGAGGCGAATCACAATGGCTACCCCTGAACCCCATTGGAGAGTGCTGGGAAAAAGGGAAAAAAATGAAAAAGAAACCAGATTCTGTTACAGAAAAGTTGGATTTAAAATATGCTTAAAACTTAAAATACTTCATAGAGGTCAGTGAAAGGTTGTTTTGGTTTTTAGCTAGAATATCAGAAGCAACAGTTCTTCAAGAGTACGGCAGAAGACACGATAGCAAGTTTTTTTTACATTAAGAGGAGCTAAGTGAAAGCCAAAGGTCATTGTAAAGTCATGATCACCGTCATTAGTCACTATGAGGATTGAGGCCTGCATGACCTCTAAAATGCATTCTATCCCCGTACAGGGTGCTTTTCTTTGGGGGGGTTTGAGTCTGACTCCTCTTGTCACTAATTAGAATGTACCTGTCAATCACAGATTGATGGAAAACCAACTATTTAGCCACTCTGCACTAAAGTTCTAAACATTCCAAACCTGACACCGCCTACTTTAATCCAGCATAAAGGGAAAACAGAAAGAATGATTAGGCATATCTTCATCTGTTTGCTTAGTTACAACATAAAACTATAGCAAAACAATTTTACTGTGGATAACCGATGTGAAGCAGCCAGTAAAGTTCAAGGCAATGCAGCAGCATCAGCCGAGGGAAGAGGGTGGAATATTGTTATAGTAGTACTTTTCCACTAATCAACATAGAAAAGGGCCATTGCATCCGTCAACCCTATGAGTACATAATGTCGACATTCCATGTTGTCACAGAAGCTATCCCTCTCAATTTGCAATCCATGTGGTTCTTCCTCTTGCTTCTGCTTTTTTCTTGTAATTTTCTATTCCGATTTGAATGGTTGTAAATCTATTCAGTGTCTAATCTAATCATAGTTGTTTTTGAGCTGTCTGCTTTCCACATGATGCTTTTGCATTCCACTTCCCTTAACCTATCATTGGATACTGGTTTTTAGTCTTGCTTGAGTGCTGGTGGCGGCAGAGTACTATCTTTTCACTAGGATCAGCAGAAACCAATGGTAGCTTAACCTCCATGACCAAACCTAACATCATATTCTATCTGTCCCAAGCCCTTTCCTGCACATTTCTGCTGTTAAGTTATAAAGCCCCAAAATTTGGTTTCATAAATCAACCAATCTGAAAATAAATGCCATTTTTGATTGCCCAGAAACAAAAGCAATGCCATATATTTTGTGATTAAAATAAATTTCATTTGATCTTCGATAAGTTACCTAGCTTATTCTAAACACATAATTTATTTACTGAATTGAATGAATAAGTTTTCTTCATTTCACCTTTCTATCCATCTGTTAGACTCAAGTTTTTTAAGTTCTGATCCTGGCTATACTTCGACCAAGCTTTTCCCACACTAGGCCCAACATTTCCCAATTTTTCTAAAGTTACGGGCCTGGCTGTTGACTGGTAATCAGACCAAATTATTTCCCAAAATATAAGCCCATGAAACTAGACTTTTCCAGGGACTGTCACCGCATTATGTAAGTGCATGTGTCTCTCAAGGCAACTCCTCCAGCCCCAGCAGGCCAGCGCGGCCCAACATCACGGCCAGGATGCTAACAGGTGCACCTCGAAGTTGACGCGTGCGAAAGCATTTGCCTTGCATGTTTGACATTTGTGGGAACAGTAGTCAGTACAGAGAAGCAGGCGGCAGTGAAGAGAAGAGATTTCTTTACCTAGGAACTTGGAAGCTCGTTCTGGGACACAAAGCCAAAAGTTAAGCGGAAAAAAATGGAGGGGAAGAGAGGGGAAGAAATGGGCAAGACCTTGATGACTGAGACATGGCTGAGGAATCACCGGTTGTTGTACGTTGGAGCTACTAGACACCCTTTCATCCGCAGCATTCGAGATGGGAACATTGATCTTTCGTCTTTCAAAACATGGCTGGTATTTTTCTGATTCTTTATTCTTGATAATCTGTTTGTAGCAATTTGTTAACATTTAGGCATAATTACTATGCTAGCTCTATTGAAAGTTGTTTCTTTAGAGGAAAATTGATTGCTTTGAATCCAATTTGATGCTTTATAATATGAACTAACTTGGTCCCAAATTTTTTTAAAAAAATAAAACTTCAGGGGCAGGATTACGTATTTGTTAGATCGTTTGTGCCGTTTGTAGCAAGTGTGTTGAGTAAAGCTTGCAAGGGATCAGATAATAGTAGTAATGATGTGGAAGTGATATTGGGAGGTATGGCTGCTCTAAATGATGAGATTGCATGGTTCAAGAAAGAAGCTTCCAAGTGGGGCGTTCAGCTCTCTGATATTGTTCCTCAGAAGGCCAATCAAAATTACTGCCGGTAATCATTTTATATACACGGTGTTTACTAAAAGTTTTTGCTTGTGATTACTCTGGAATTATTTCATTTTAGTGCCTTTATAGCTCATGGAAATGTGTGTTAATGGACAATCTGATGACTTTGTTTGAGTTGCTAAATCATGAATTCCAAAGTTTAGGAGGTCTAAAGTACAATTTAGAACGAGTTTAAGGAGTATTTTCTTGAATATGGGTTTCTGCTCATTTCTAGGTGTCAACTTCTTGGCCTAACTAAGCCCCTTCGACAGAGTCCTAGTGATCCTTCATCCAATGGATATATGTGTTCTACTGTTCATCTTTGGGATCATTTCCAGGTAGAAATGTTTTCTTGATTGAATCCGGTAATTTCTTGCTTCCTCAAACTGATGGTCAATATGAAAGAACAATTCAGATCTTTGAAGATATATTGAAGCTTGATATAATTGATTTGGAAGATTAATGGAATGGACATTATCTTTTGCAAAAGTTGAATTGAAAGTTGAGAGGAGATAACGTCTTATTTAGTTTTTTCGTTGCTGCCATTAAGCCCATGTTAAAGTTGTAGCATCAGAGAGATGTGCATTGAGCTGTGCATATATGTTCTTGGCATTTATGTGTTACCTTTACCTGGGGTGTGCTATATATTGAGGTTAAGAATCAAAATGGTAGATCCTGGTTCATGTAGATCAATTAGATAGAATTATTATTATAGAGTTTGGAAAAGGAGTGATTTAATTGAAGTTCTAGTCTAAATTCTCTATTAAAACTTTCTCCTTTTAATGCACAAAGACATCTTAAATAGGCTCTTGGAAATTGTATTATTGATCATCGGACATGATTCCATAGTCTTGAGTTACAATATAGAAGCAGACACATTTTTTATTTGATATTGCAGATTTCTTGAGAGCTTAATGAGCCCAGAAGTTGAATATACTGTTGCAATCACAGCTTTTTGGGCGATTGAAGCTGTCTATCAAGAGAGTTTTGCCCACTGCCTGGAAGATGGAACTAAAACCCCCCCTGAGCTTCAGGAAACTTGCCAAAGATGGGGCAATGAAGGTTTTGGTCAGTACTGCAATGCTCTTAGAAAAATTGCTGATCGACAGCTAGAGAAGGCTTCTGATGATGTGATCACAAAAGCCGAAGTGACATTCTTGCGTGTTCTTGAACATGAGGTTGATTTTTGGAATATAAGCCATGGGGGAACCTCAACTTTATGAACCTGATATGATTTGAGTAGGTTGCCCTCTTTCCTCATCTGCCAATTATGACTTTTCCTTAGCGTAGAAAAGCATAGAGTTAGCTTGTTCAATCTATGAGATTGCACAATATTATAAACAGTATAGCACTGGAAAATATGTTAAAACAATGTCTGTATAGTTTTATGCTGTATCTTCAATGTGTTAATCAATGAATTGTTTGCTATCTTGTTCCTCATTCTCACCTTGAAAATTATCATTTGAGGCAGGGAGGCCATTCCGAGCAGAGGAAGCCTACGAAAATCCTGTTTGTTTTTGGATTACGGAATATGAAATGAATCCCTGAAGAGACCTGAAGAAATTTCGCAAGCAAAATATAATAGGAAAATGGCTGTTCTTGTTCTTCAATATATAGTTGTAGATTGATAGCATGAAAAATTTGACCTGCATCGCATTGTTTGTGCAAGGAAAATGGAGAAGAAAACAAAAAGAATAGTGGGAGAAGAAGATAACCATGAACGGCCTTATCTTGTAGGAATTGTTTTTTTATTGCTTTGAAATTCGGTTCACGAAAAAGAAAATGATTTGATAGATATGTAGAAATCAAATCCATATGATGTAGGTATGCACCAAGGGTTCCTTCAAGGGAAATACAGACCAAACAATTTTGAAGAACTGTAAAGAAACACTGGAAGCAAGGTTTTATTTCATGTATGTACAAACTGCAAAAATACCAGACTAGAAAACCAATTGAATCTAGTCATTTCGTACATGAGAAATCCAAAGTCTTGGAACAAAATTTAATAGTTGAACATCCCAACAGAGGCCATGATGGGCTGACCAGAACCATGACACTGCCAAGAATCCAAGTGGGGTTCCCTGATGTCAGCAGTTTGATCAGAAAAGCTTCCAGATTGCATCAAGTTCATTTGCAACAGGTCCATGTGAGTTTGCATCACTTCCAGATTCCTTAAATATTGAGCCAACTCCAACTTTTGGGCCTTCAGGAGATTGTTTTCTGACTCCAGAACAAGAGTCTTTTGCATTAAAATTTCATAATTGTCGGCATTCTTGCGTATCTCCACATTCAAAGAAGCAACCTCTCCGACCAAGTCCTCCAACAGCTTTTGCTTCTTCATTCGTGATCGTCTTGCAGATTCTCGGTTTGATAGCATCCTCTTTCTCTTCTTTTCATCCATGGCCATGCAGCGAGCATCTGCCTCAGACCCCGAGCTCCTCTGTGGGAAGGGATTCGACATCTTCTTGGGGTAGAATTAGAATA